TATTAAATTGACTAATCATTTTATTTTTCGCATGTATTTTCAAATGAAATGAATGTTAATAAAGAATCTTAAAATTTATTTTTAGAAATATTAGAATTAAAAAATTAATTATCATTGTAGAGACTGAGTTCATGGGTTTAAAATAGATCAATCAATCTAAATTTTTATTTTTATCAATTTAAATTAAGTTGTATTGATTCTAAAATTATCAACTAAATATTCACAAAGTATTTTTGAATAGCAATCAATTAACTCATTTGCAAGATTCCTTAAATATTTTTCTTGATATTTAATGCATTTTTCACAAACAGCATGTCGATATTTATTTAAAAGTTAAAGAAAATGAATGATAAATCAACTTAATGAAATACAATATATGCTAATAATTGATTATTATAATTTCTATACTGATATTCCTAAATTATTGCTAATAATAATTACGAAGCTTCTGGATTCATTGTATTTTTATTAGATCAAACTTTCTTTGATGAAAAAAATATATATAAGTTTAATAAAAATATAACAGTAAAAAATATTAATATAAATATTCAAAATTAAAAAGTAATGAATGATGAAAGAATCTAGTTTTTAGAATGGAAGAATGAAAAAGCTATTTTGCAATAGAAAATTTAAATTTAAGATATGTATATTTAGGAAGCTAAGGAAAGAGAAGAGAACTTGAGAAAGATGAATGAAATATTCATTAATACTCTAAACCAACAATAAAATGAAAATGTTGTTCAAAAATTTTAAAAGAGTTATGAATAGAGTGAGATAGAAAAATAATAAGATATTATAAATGCTTAATAAATAGAAATAAAATTGCTAGAAAGTAAATTAGCTGAAAAAGAAAATCAAATAAAATTAATTCAAAAAAGCAATGAGAAAGAAATTGAGAAACTATAAAAAAGGATTGTAGAATTAGAATATTTATCATGCAATAAAGAAAACATTAATTATTAAAATATAATTGAATATTAGGTAAATTAATAATATGATGATGATAAAACTCTTCAACAACGAAAAAGAAACCAAAGTCCTTCTTATCCAACTACAAGAATTCGAACTGTTTAATAATAATAATAATAATAATAATAATAATAATAACAATAGATTTCTAATAATAAGTTTGATGAATCTACATGTACAAATTAAGATTCAACTGATATTTCAAGTTTCTTAAATAGAATTAATCCTAATTTATAAAGGTAGATGAAAGATATCTAAAGTAAATTATATAACACAAAAAAGAAATTAACAACGACTACAGAATAAGAAAGTTCATTCATACGTTAATCAATTTAAAAAATAAAAAATGTAAATAATGTAATTTATGTTAGCGATCAAGGAATCATTCAATTTCAATAAATGAGAATACATATTGTGAATAAAGGTCAACGTGGGATGATTAAGTTGAGTATAGAACTAATTAAACAAATCAAACAAACTAATCATTAATGTGTAATGGATTTAGATTTTCTTGAATAAACTTATAATTAAAATTATATAAACGATTACGTTTAATTTTGGAGGTGTCTAAAAATATAGTCTTATGTTCAATTCAAAAATGAGCAAATATCAATAAATGAAAAGTTAGTTTGATTGTTTTATTATTTAATAATAATTCATATAAAAATGTATTAGACAGAAACAAAGTCATCTCTTTATGCATCGAAATTAATTTAGTAAACAAATTATTCAGCATTATCATCTTTACCAAAAACATATATTAGATAAGTATAAGCAGAAGGTAATAAAATATTTAGTAATCGTTTAGGTGAAATATTTATGGCAGCTCCATAAAAATGTGCTAATATTTGGAAAGAATTTAGAAGAAATGATTTTACACAAGTTTAAATACCATATAAAACAGCTCTTTAAGTTTTTGATGCTTGTAAAGAGGATTTTTAAAGAATGTTAAAGATTTCTAATGGAAAAGATTTCTTTGATTTATTTGATTAAGACAATGACGGGTAATAAGAATAAGTTTAAACATAGATATTTAAATGAAGATGAGTAGATATTAGTTTTTAGCATAATAAAAGAGAAAATGTAATAAGTTGCAAATCTATTGTTATAAATATAATAATATGTTCCATTCAAATAATTGATGAAGGCCATAAGAATACTAGAATAGAATATCTGTGAATACTAAGATGTATTAAGATAGAAGATCTATAAATCTGAAGTTTTAACTTACAAAGAAATAGGACTAGAAAAACTGGATGACTTTTATGAAAAATACTATAATTATTTCTAATAGTTTGAAAATTAGAAAAGAATAAGAATGTATACAATTTGATAATATATTTAGATAGACATAAATATAAAAATAATAAGAAGAAATGGGATAATTAGAGGATAAATTATCAAAAAATACAGAATTTTTAAAAGTAAAACCTAAAAGAAAACTAAAAGATTTATAAACATAAGAAAAATTAGTTTCTTTAGATGAGAGAGTAGAGGAAGCTATGGATTTTCGTAGGGAATTAAAAAATATGGAGAAAACTGAATAAGAGAGAGTAGCATAAGAATAAGAAAAACGTATTGAAAGTTAGAAGGATGAACTATAACGTAAACATTAAAAGTAAATGGAATAATTAAAAGCTAAATTAATAGAATAAGAACATAAATTAATTATTTAACTTAAAAAAGAATATAATGTTCTATTAAAATAAATAGGATTGCATAGTAATGAGATAGATAGAATATAATCATTTGCAACTTAAAGTGCAATCCGAAAAGGAGAGAAAGAAGGAGAACTTAAAAGAATGAAAGAAAGAGCTAGAATATAAAATTTTATAATTGGAGATACTAAAAGAACTATGACTCCTAAACCCTTATAATAAAATACATCAACATATGAAGATACTGTAAGTTAATCTCCAAGATCTCCACAAGTTGTTTCTAAACATGATAGAGCTGTTCATGATATTAAAGTTTTGATTCATAAATAAAATTATACTTAATTTTACATTAAGAAAAAATATGGAGCTGTATTAATTTTAAATATGATATTTATAGGATTTGCCCGTTAATTATAAGCCTGAACCATATAAAGTATAAGGTGACAATCATGAAAGAATTGAGAAGATTTTATCAGTAAAAAAGAAAAATCCTCATGACATATTGCCATCTTTAACTGAATTATATGATCAAAATCTAAAAGAATAAGTATACACATATTTTTAATATTTAAGGATAAAGGTAGTACATAAAAATCTGAATCAGAATTAATTTAGGAAAGATTAAAAAAGAAATAGTTTATATAAGAGAAACTTGAAGAATCGACTCATTGAATTTATTTACAAAAATATCATATTGCTTTCAATAACCATTATTCTAATTCAGTTGATAGTTCAATTTATTATGGGAAAAGCAACTTCATCTCATTAAAGATTTCTTTTATTCCATCAAAATCATACTTTTTGTTAATTATTACTTAATTCAATTAAGTAATATAATCTGGATAAAGACAATCAGTAAAGATTCTACCATTTTGTATAATGTTCTATTCTACTTAAAAATAAACATCAAACATTCCAAATTTAAGTTTCTCTTCTAAATTAACTGTGAATTAAGGAGTATATTGATATAACCATTCCCAAGATGATAATCTTTCTGATTCTATCTTTATATCTTCAATTCTCAATAATTAATCTTAATTAAATTCTTTAAATTCTACATCATTGTATTTCTTAATAAATTCTTTTATTAGTTCATCCTCATATTATCTAACTGTAATACTATTGTTTAATTCTTTAAGATTAGTAACTCTAGATTTAACAGAATCAATGCCTTTGCTCTCCAATTTCTTCTTAGATGGTGTTAAATATTGAGATAATGCATTTTAATCAACATCTATTAACATTGTTCCATGATGCAATGCAATTTTATTAGGATTGATTTTAGTTCCTAAAGATAATTGATATGCAGATCCTGAAACTTTCTTATCTCCAACCACAATATCATTTCTACCAGATGCCTAAGCTTCTACACCTAAATTATACAAAGCATTTATTAGTATATCATTATTAATGGTTTTTGGATCTTAAGAAGTAAATGCATTCAAAAATGTAAAACAATGATTTCCTAAATCTTAATATACAGCCCCACCTCCACTTGATCTTCTTTATAACCAGACAGAGTTTTGTTACATTAATTATAAATTACATTCTTTCCAAGGATTTTAATGTCTGCCAATTACTATAGTCTTATCGTTTTACCATAAGTATAGTATAGGAGATTAAATGAAGGATTTTGAAAATAAGTATTATTCTAAACCTAAGTTGAGATGAATTTTATGGCAATTTGATTTTATTATGGTTGGTTTAATAATTTACATAATTAATTTTAATTATTAATAAGCTTATAAATTGTAAATACAAAATATGAATTTCAGTATTCTTAGTTTGCAATGATAATTCTAGCATGTCTATCAAATTAATCATCCAAGAATAAAACATTAGATGGTATTAACAAAATAAATCTTCTTGCTAAGTTAATATCTATTTTTAATTGTTGCATAAAAATAAATAGAAAATAAGCCATTAATAACAAAGAATAAACAATAAAAATGATCGAGATAGTATTACATATCATAATTTATTATTCTGTGACATCAACCATACCTTTTTTAAATTATTTACTCATCAATTAGAATGCTCTAAGAACTATTAGACTGCCCTCATTTTCATATTTATTAAATTCTACTCTTTTTGTAAAATTATTAATTTGCATTTGAATAGAAATAGAATTAGATATATATTTTAATGTAGGAAACAATCCTAACTATAAAGTACCTTATAATGATTTTTCACAATATTATTTTAGAAATCCCAAATGGTCATCTCCTAAAACAATGCAAATATTGTTTTCCTATAAAGATTAAAAAAAATTTAAGAATTCCTCTGAGGTTTAATATTTGGTTGAATCAAACTTGTAAGAAAATTGTAAGAATTAATCAATTGTTAATAAACCAGTATTGATAGTAAAATAAAACTTTTCTACATCAAAAGGTCTCAGATAAGGATAATTAGCAAAAGCAAGTCCAAAATCTCTATTTCTATAAAGAGTTCCTGCATATAAAGACATATCTGATATCAATTTATAGGCATCTGCTGTTGCTGAGAATTTATTCAAATATTCTCCTATTTAAATATTAGATATTAAACTCAATGCAAAAAAAACCATCCAGCATATGATTACTAAAATAAACTTAATGCCAAAGGATATCTTTTTAAATTAAGGTTAAACTTTAATCTCTTTAACTTTTTATTATTCATGTTCTTATCTTTATTTAGTAATTTCCTCTTCTTTTTAATCTATATAAAATTAGTAATTAAATAGTAAATAACTATTTTTATTTATGATTTTTAAAATATACTTTAATCTTTCCAATTCTTATTCCATTCTATAGGATGAACAATATTTAAAAAGACTTGTAAATTAATCAAATTTAGAATTGAATATTCTATAGTAAAATAAGCTTGCAAACAATGGACAAATATTAACTAAAAGATATACAATCCAAATCATATTCCATTTATTACTAACTTCTATACAACGATTTTTTGAGTATTAATAAACTTCCATAGTCAAGTCTTCTAACCAGAAATGAAAATTATAAATATTAGCAAATTGATATACCTAATATGTTTAATTAGCTGTACTCAATCTTGCTTCGAATCTTAATTTGAAGTCATAATAATATGACAATGTACCCATTAATGCTTCTCTAATATTTTAAATTATAGGATATGTTTCGGATCCATTATGATACATATAATATACAGTTATATTCTTATCCTTTAAAAATGGAGTCAAATATTCATTGTTTAACCAATAGATAAAACCATCTTTAAATTCATAATAACCAATTCCAACATTCTCATACAAAGGATCTGTTAATTCTTTGAATTCTGCTTTTGTTATTTTTCCTGCTTATAAAAATGAATTATATGTAATTATTGGTTACCTTATTTACAAATATAAATCATGAGGATTCATTATTCCTGCATGTAATTAAATCATATCAATTTCACCTATAAATCTATGAAGATCTATTTAGGCACTACCTAGAATTATCATAAAATATGATAATGCAATTAAGTAAGTGAGTACTTAAAATAATATGAACAATTTCAAAGTTGTTGGTATTATTGGTTCTATTAATTGAACTATTGTCTCATATTTTTTATAAAATATTGACTATTTTATTCCTTTAAATCCATTATTAGATGAAGATTATTATTCTTTCTCATCCTATATATTCTTAATTTAATTTACACTAATCTGTTCCTTTACATTACTTCTTTTAAATTCTTCTTCTAATTCTTCCAATTTTATATTCCTTGATTAATATACAGAAAGAGATTTTTCATTATCAATTTCTTTATGAAAATATTCTTATTAAATGCTACTTTGTTATATTTATAATGGAATTTGTGATTAATCTTACCAAGGAGCATTACTAAAATTTGGACTTAATATATTATTTTATTAAAAGGATATATCTTATTTTTCTTATTCTTATTGTTATTTTTCTTCTACATTCTCGTCTATTTTTTGTTTTATTTTTATCTTCTCTGAATTTTCATAATAACAAATCTTAAATATGTTTTATTATTTTGAAATTTTTGGAGATTATGCAATAGCTTCAATTTCAGATAATTCTGATAATTCAAAATACTCTTCTAATCCTTCTTATTTTCTTATTTTACTTGAAATTTATGATCTTTTTGAATTTATTAATTATCTAACATCTTTTACTTCTATTATGAAATAGTTAAAACCAAAAATATCCTAGTATTAAATATTTATTTCTGCCTCATATAAATAAACCTACTCAAGATTAGACCAATTAGTTGTTATTACTGATTGCTACTTAAATTAACTTCTCATTATCTCATTTTCTAATAAAAATGCTTCCTTTAAGAATCTTAATTCTGTTATTGCATTTTATTATTTAGTTTCAATTAATTTTTTAAAATTTGGAATCATATAATCTATTTATAAATATGTTTAATCCTATTTATTAAATTAATTTTAATAATTTTCATTTAATCCTAACTTTTCAAAAAAACTCTCTGTTATTCCCCCAACTTTTTCATTTATATCTACTAATAAATATGCATATTGAATGATACATTCTGAAAAGAATGCAGAAAATCTATAATGATTCATATTATCAAAATGTATATCAAATAAAAGTTAACATGGTTTTATTAATAAATTATTTATCTTAAAAAAAGTTTGGTGAAACCTTAAATAAAATTTTGAGTTGCTTGTTTATATGAATCTTTATACTAATAAACTATGCTCATTTATTATAGCCAATGGAAGAATACTCTCAATAAAAGTAAAATTTTTAGATTCTTCTGGACATATTTAAAAAAATCTTAATGAATTTTCAGATTTACTTGTTATCAATAAGTTTTAATTGTATTCTAATTATAAATTTAAGTAAACCACTTTTTTTGAGAAAAAGGCTGTCTTAATATTAGCATTCATGTTAATTAATTATTCTTCAGGTATTGATGTTAAATTTTTAAATTTCTAAGCTTCAATATAATTACTTAGAATCTCGCCTTAATAAAAAACTAAAATTGATTATAATTTTAAACTTGGAAATTGTTAATACCTAAAGAATAATTTATTCTCTAAATTTAATTATGTTTAACTAAGTTTTATTGCATTATTAAATAATTCATCTGCATCAATAGCTTTTTTAGTTGTAAATTATAATGTAAAAATTATTTTTTCATTTATCAATTCTATTATTGTATTTTATAATCCCTAATTTCTTTTTTCATTTTTTAAAAATAATTCGACACCCAACTTCATATCTTTTAATTAGTTTTTGGTATTGTTTTTCTCATAAAATTTAAACTTTAAATTTTCTTTGATCTAACTTTTTAAATAAATAGCTTTTGCTATATTTAATGATGAAAAATGATAATCACCAACAAATAATAATTTGCTTTTCTTACTTTAAGCTTTTTTGGCTATATCATTGATTTCATCTGTATTTGATCGTAAAGATTTACTAGAAACTGATTAATGAACTGCACATTTTTAAGGACTATCAACACCACTACTTGGAACTTCAATTTCTCCTAAAAAACCTTTATATTTTGATTAAATTAATTTTTTATTAATTAAGGAATTTATTTAAATTAAGGCTAAATTGGAGAATCCAAAATTATTCAATAATGCTATATAATGTAAATCAAATCCTTTAACTTTTGATATATTTTTTACATATTATTTTAGTTTTTTTTAAATAAATACATCTAAATTTTGAGATGTTAATATATTTTAATATGCTGACTTTTCTTATGTATCATATATATTTTAATCAACAATCTTATTTATCCAATGTTATATGATAGAATTATTCATTTTTTTTTCACTTTTAGGAAAATCATCATTAATGAGTCTGGATAAATAAAACTTTATTATTTTATATTACTTTATTTAAATTATATTATTCTATAGTCTCTCTTCTCTTTGATTATAAAAATTTAACAATAATTTACTTAATGATATAAAAATGATTATTATTCCAGTATTTGTAAACATAGATATTGAATCTTTTTTTAGATTCTGTAATAAACGATAAATTGATGAAATAAACCCAAACGATGAAATAATCAAACTAATTTTAACTCTTATAATATCATTGTATTCTAACTAGAAAACCTATAAGGTATTAATTAATGATAATGTAAGAACTAAAATACTCTATAAAATTAATCCATTAACTTCACCCTTAATAATGCCATAAATAAATATTTACAATATCAACAAAATTATTTATAGATAATCTAAAAAGGTTTAATTAAATTTTTAGAATCTATTCACTTTTAAATCAATTGTTTCTCTGTTGAGCAATAAGTTTATAATAAGAATAATAAAAGTTAATAATAGAGAAAATGAGGATAAAATTACATTAAAAATGGATTTATTAAAACTTATTGCAATTATTATAGATTAAGTAGATAATATCATAAATGGTACAAATAAATAGGTGAGAAATATTTAAAAAAATATTGAGCTAAATTTTAAGTAGTAATTTACTATTGTAAATTTTAGTATCCTTTATTTATTTTATAAATAAATCACTATGAGTAAAGGTATAAAAAACATTAAAATTTATATTAAGAGTGGAATAATATAATACTGTAAAGATGAATCAAATTAATAATTGATCAATTCATCTATTCTGCTAAAGTAAATAATAAATGACTCATAATTAATTTTATTTGAAAAAAATGTTAATTTCTTGGATTCAAAAATAGGAACCCATAAAAAAGTGATGCTTTATAAATCACCTAAAATGCTAATAAAATAAAAGATAATCTTTTAAAGACTTACAAAGTAATATAAATGTAGCAATCTTTCTAATATTAATACTTTCAAATTGATTTGGCTTTTCTTATTTAGTTATGTAATCATATTTTGTTAATATTTTTAATATATTTCATATAAAATATAAAATTTGAAACGAAAAAGAATTAATATTACAATTTTATGGATAAAACAAGAATTTATTATTTAGATAAGACAAGGGAATGAAACTAAACAATTTGAAGTAAAATTTAAAATAAAAATAAAAACATTTTTTTGTCTATTTACCAGTTATAACAAGCTTAAGGAATGAAATAGTAAATTAGATATAATAAATATATGAATTGAAATTAAGAATAATGTAAATCAAAAATCATCATCACTATTTTATTTCATATAATCTGCAACAAATTTAATTGGATTTTGAGGTCTAAATTATAAATGAAATATTACTTTTGTTTTGATACCAGCAATAAGGCTTTTTATAAAAGTTGAAATAGTTTAGGATCATACTAAAACACTGTTGATTGATTGTCTTAACTTTATTGGCTTTGATCTGTTTGATTCATTATAAAATATATAATATAAATAAATGATTATATTAAAACTATTTGATTAAGTAAAAATTATTTTTATGAAAAAGAGATATTGAATTATATTTATGAAAATAATTGGTTAATTTTGATTATATTTATATATTATTAAAGACAATTTCATTCCAGTAATTTTTATTTTATATTTTTCATATTATCGTAAGCTTTTTGTAGATAAGGATCATTTTTTTCTAGTTTCTTTTCAAATATTCTTATTGCTTCCTATACTTTTTCTAAGGCCTTTTAATATTGTTTTAATTCTGATAACACAGTTCCTATATTATTTATTGTTTAAGCAACTATTTATGATTCTTAACCATAAACTTATTTTTAACCATCTAATACTTCCTCAAAAATCTTCAAAGATTCCTCAAATTAATTTTTTTAAAATAATGCTGATGCTAATTGAATAGCTGTATGTTATGTCGATTTATGAAATATTTTCAACTCTTATGCTTTATATTTATATGCTTCCCTAAAATACTAAATACATAAATCTAAATTATGTAATGCTCTATAACATTCTGCTATACTATGCATTGTATTACTCTTTTATAGAGCAGCATCTCCAGCATTTGGATCACTGAACACACCTGGTTCATTATACATTTATAAAGCTTATTTAAAATAATCTATAGCTTCTTCATAAGACTGCTTATTTTAAAGAGTCATCCCTATATTATTTATTGTACTTGCTAAACTTTTCGAAGGTTAAACCTATAATTCAGCCTTCTTTATACTTAATGCTTTATTAAACATCTCTAAAGCCTTATCATATTATTTATCACTTCTATATGCTTCACCTAAATTATTTAATCTATTTCCAACACTTATATGACCTTTTCCATATATACTCTCATAAACCTCTATTGTTTTTTAAAAGTTTTATATTGCTTTCTTTACTTCACCTTTTTAATAATATATCATTCCAACATTATTTAATAAATGTCCCAATAATTATTTTGACTATTGTTCTAATTTCTCTTGTTCATTCTATTATTCTAAAATACTTATTGCTGAATCCCAATATTAAGTAGCTTTATTATTTTATTTTTTATCATAATAAATTTATCCAACTGTATTATACATGTATATTAATTCATTTTAGAATTATTATTATTATGATTAACCTTATATATATTTAATTGATTTTTCCCATACATTTAATGCATCATCATATTATTTCAAAGAATGATAAGCATTCCCTAATTAAATCTAAATTTCATTTAATTTATTACGTTCAACTAAATTGTTGTATCCTTTTCCTCATAATAATTATTTAATTCCTAAGCCTTTTAATATAAAGCTAAAGCTTCTTTAAAATCTTATTGGTTTGCCTCCTATTGTCCCTTTTCTATAAGTTATTTAATTTTTTCTTTTAGAAATTACGAAAATTGGGATGTGAATTGCTTACGTATTTTCTCATCCACTTTACATAATAAATCAATAGCTTTATCTTAAGCATCTGGTTATTTTGCATTTGCTAATTCAATCTAAGATTAATCACATTTTTTCTACATATAACTAAATCAAGATAGTTTGATTCTTTACTCCTTTTTAATTATAGATTTGCAATAATTCTTAGACTTCATTTAATCTAGTTTAAGGATCTTAACTCAATTATTTGATTTTTTATTAAATCATTGTCACAACATCTACAGTTACTTATGGAATTAATTCTTATCTTTAACATTTTTTAACTAACAAAGTAACAGTCTATTTAGCTCTTAATTGAGCCTTGATCCAATCAACACATAATTAAATTTCATCATCTGTTGATGTGTGTGTTAATTAAAAAACATCAATTTAAGATGGCATTTTAATTTATAGTTATATAATTATAGATTATTCATTTTAAAGGAGCCTTAAATAAAGTTGCTGGTTCATAAGATGCTTGCTTATTTTATTAATCTTTTTCTTTATTTATCATTAATTCATCATCATCAACTTTGTCTAAATCTAAATCATTAAACTCTGATAATAGTTGTTATCTATAAACAATCTTTGAATTATTCTTACCTTTCCACTTTTAATTGTTATACTTTTTATTCATATAATGCTATCTATGCATTTAACTTTTAAATTGCAAACTTTTTTATTCTAACTACATTCTATAAACTGTCTCCAACAGGACAGTCTGTTCTTAAAGGATTTGCTGATGCTTTCTAATTTTATACACTAATTAACTTTTATACAAAGCAACTAGCACTTTATTTATCATGAAATCTGTATTTTCGAGTATTATTCAATACTTGTAATTGAACAACTAAATTTAATTATATACCATAATACCATTTTCATCCCTACTAAATGCTAAATATTCCTTTTTTAAAGGAATTACTTAAATAATCTAACGCAAATCTTCATCTCTGGAAACTAACATTTAAGTTTTTCCTATTGTAAAATGAACAGTTTTTGATTATCCTAAACTTGCTAATTTTTAAGCAGATGTTTTTAGTAAAGAATGAGGAGGTATATATGAATCATTCCATAAGAAATAATTTTTTGTTGATACTTAATCAAAAAATAAGTTAGTAACTTTAGAGCTAACAGTTTTGCTATTTTCTCCTATTGAATAATGCTAGACTTTAAATAAATTTAAATCTTATTTAGTATTTGGATTATGAAATTCAAGAGTAGGTTTAGTTTCTTCAAATATCTCTTTAGCAAAAATAGCTAACTTAACAAGTTAATCTCTTTGATTTTAGAATTTTGCTTTATAATTTTATGAAAGTATTTTGCCATTTTCAATAAAATTAATGATAAATTCATCATCTTTTTTTGAATACAAGGCAGACTGAAATAATAAGATTAATAAATACTGAAATATTGGAAAACATATAGCTTTTAGTTCTAACATCTTTTTTTTACTCAGTTAAAGTTTATGCTGAGAAATTGAATTACATAATTTCACTGGCAGATTTTCCTTCTTTAATAACTTCGAATATAAAAAAAGGCCATAATTTATCGACTATTTATTAAAAGGTAATACTTTATTTGTTTGGTATAATTAATTCGAAAGGTTGACTTAAATAACATCTGATCATCAATTTATGCATATATTATTCTCTAGCCTTTTTAATATAGAAATTAATAAAACCTTTTCATCTTTAATTATTTTATAAGCTTCATTAGTTTTATTTAAATTTTCTTAACCATCTCCTTTTGGATATTCTTTATCAGTGTAAAACTTAACAAGAGTGTTATAATTTCTTAAATTAAAATAAAAATACAACCTATCTATTTATTATTCCGATGATGTAAATTTAACAGCTAAAATTGTATAATATCCATACGATCCTTCATTATCAACTTTTTTTTAATCATCTCCTGCTCCATCATACATTTTATTTAAATTAATTAATTTATAAATTTCATATGAAATAATAAATTCGAATAATATATCATGATGGACCTATCATATTTAAGATTCTATCAACAGCAGCCTCGACATTTCCTCCAGTTGCAATTAAAGCTTCTAAATTAACTTATTTATTAGTAAATCCTAATTCTTATAATTATTATTATTAAGTAGCATATTTTTATTCTGCAGCTTAAGTTGATAATTAGGGACCTCCTAATCCAACTATTTTATTTAAGATAATAATAATACCTCCTCCTCCCATCATATTTATCATAGCTTACAAATCTAGACTACCAAAAGGATTTTAAGCATTTTAATTTCCTGAAACAGGTGGAGCTTAAGCATTATTAGGATTGGGAGGATTTGTTTAATCACCAAAACCACCCATTCCTCCCATTCCTTACATAGCCATTTAAAGTGCTTAAGGATTCATCATCATTTATAATAGTTAAGGATTATCAAATACTTATTAAAGTTATGGATTAGCCTATAACATTTAAGCTATCATAGGATGTGACAATATTTGTTATCTAATTTATGGATTTTGCATCACCTATAATATGTAAAAATAAATTTATTACAGCTTATATTTGAGCTTGATACGCAGGATTTGATAACATTTACATCATCATTTATTAATCCATACCACCCATTCCTCCAAATCCACCTAATCCACCCATACCACCTAATCCACCCATACCACCAAAACCACCCATTCCACCAAAACCTCCCATATTTCCCATACCTCCTTAACCTCCCATGCCTCCAAGACCTTATTATCCTCCAACTGGTTATTATTATGGTTATTATTATGGAGCTTATTATGGTGGTTATTAAGCTTATCTATAATTATTTATTTTATACATTTAGCAACAACTAAATGCATTGTTGAATCTGCCTTTACATTCACACCTGAAAGAACATCAATGTCTTTTAGAATTTTACCTTAAAATATAATTTTCATTGTAGAAGGTTCTGAATTAAATTTTGTTGTTAGCTTCTCTTTTAATTCTTTTACCGTTGCATTAGGATCTATTTCTATTACTTCTATTTATTCTGCACCATGTTTTATTTTTATTGAAATACTTGTCATCTAATTTAATTTATGATTTAAATCTAGAACAATTAACACTCTTCTATAATTTAATTAGTTTATTTTCATGAATAGATAATAGTAATAAAGACATTCTCGTTAAAATTGCTAAATTTGCCACAAGTCTGTACAATCTAATCGATTGGTATTTTATTAATCTACTCAAGCTTACACATTAAACACAATGCTTAATGTAATAAAGATAAAGAAGAACTTAGTAATAACAATAATAAGAATAAAGACCATAATATTATTAACAATAAAGGTAACCTTAATAGCGAATTAATAATTCTCATAATTATAATAGAAATTATAATATCCAACATACTCAAGATAGTTCTGATAGTGATGATGAAGGAATGCTTCAATTCCCTAATTTTAATTGTAATTCAATTTTTAAACTATAGAAATTTTTGGGCCCAATTCTTAATTTTAAAGATCTATGGAAAACATGAGACATTAAATGAATGAAGCTTTCAATATTAAGTATAAATTTATACATATCCTAGTTTAAATTTTGGCTCAGATTCATTTTAATTTAATCTAAATACTAATATAGGCTAAAGATAGCATATCTAAATACGAAACATAGGCCCATAGATTCAAGTCTAATAATTTTTTAATGTACCAAATGTTCAATTCTTATATGATAATGATGATGATGATGACGAGGATGATTATGAAAATTAATATTATCAAAATTAGGATCCAGAAAATGAAGAAAGAAGACAACCTTAACCCATGAGTTCAAGTGAAATTAAACAGATACCAACATCAAAATATAAACCGAACTAGAAAAATTTAAATTGTGTTGTTTGCATGCTTGATTTTAAAAAATCTGAAAATGTGAAGTAAAGAGTTTTAATTATAAAATATTAGAATATTAGATTGTCTACATTAATTTCATGCTAAGTGTATAGATTAATGGTTGAAGTAGAAAGGAGAATGTCCTATTTGCAGACACTAATTAAATTGAATAATTTGCACTATATATAATATTACATCAATAAATGAAGTTTATCAGTTTTTCATAAATGTAAACAAAGTTTGCAAACAAATTATCTTGTTATTCATTTTCTTCTTATTAAAGATTCATTCTTGCAAAAGTAAATTCAGGATTCAAACAATTCAATAAATAGCTAAATTATTTAAGAATAATACTTTGTAGTATCGCTACCAAATAAAGCACCCACTGGACCTAAAGAATTTATTCGAGTTTCTATTACAAATAAAATAGCTAGAAAAGCATCTGAATATGTTAAAGGCAAAGTACTCATTTATGTTATGATATATTAATATAAACCATCATTATCATCAATTTAACTATATGCAAAATACCTCATCATTGAAATTGATGAACTTATTTTTAACAAACTATCTAAAGTGTGTTATGTACAATAATAATTTTATCTTAATTTAAGATAGAATTTTTTTAACAATTCTAAAGATCCTGTATCTATAGTTAATAATTTATTAATCCAAGTTTCAAGATCTGAATTATATACTTTATCTACAGTCTTCTTTTGTAATAAATAACAAGAAGAAGGAGCATGAATAGATCTATCTGCTGTTGGTTATTTTTTTATTGTTGTTTGAAACGGATTTGAATTATCAGTTTAAGAACTTTTAAATAAATATTCACAATAATCTGCTATCAAATTAAATCTAACTTATTTATAATTTAAATTAGAATAAGCTAAGTCTAATACAATATCAAAAGAATCAGTTGCATGAGGAAATTTTTCATTTAAATAAGTGAAATCNCTAAAGATAGCATATCTAAATACGAAACATAGGCCCATAGATTCAAGTCTAATAATTTTTTAATGTACCAAATGTTCAATTCTTATATGATAATGATGATGATGATGACGAGGATGATTATGAAAATTAATATTATCAAAATTAGGATCCAGAAAATGAAGAAAGAAGACAACCTTAACCCATGAGTTCAAGTGAAATTAAACAGATACCAACATCAAAATATAAACCGAACTAGAAAAATTTAAATTGTGTTGTTTGCATGCTTGATTTTAAAAAATCTGAAAATGTGAAGTAAAGAGTTTTAATTATAAAATATTAGAATATTAGATTGTCTACATTAATTTCATGCTAAGTGTATAGATTAATGGTTGAAGTAGAAAGGAGAATGTCCTATTTGCAGACACTAATTAAATTGAATAATTTGCACTATATATAATATTACATCAATAAATGAAGTTTATCAGTTTTTCATAAATGTAAACAAAGTTTGCAAACAAATTATCTTGTTATTCATTTTCTTCTTATTAAAGATTCATTCTTGCAAAAGTAAATTCAGGATTCAAACAATTCAATAAATAGCTAAATTATTTAAGAATAATACTTTGTAGTATCGCTACCAAATAAAGCACCCACTGGACCTAAAGAATTTATTCGAGTTTCTATTACAAATAAAATAGCTAGAAAAGCATCTGAATATGTTAAAGGCAAAGTACTCATTTATGTTATGATATATTAATATAAACCATCATTATCATCAATTTAACTATATGCAAAATACCTCATCATTGAAATTGATGAACTTATTTTTAACAAACTATCTAAAGTGTGTTATGTACAATAATAATTTTATCTTAATTTAAGATAGAATTTTTTTAACAATTCTAAAGATCCTGTATCTATAGTTAATAATTTATTAATCCAAGTTTCAAGATCTGAATTATATACTTTATCTACAGTCTTCTTTTGTAATAAATAACAAGAAGAAGGAGCATGAATAGATCTATCTGCTGTTGGTTATTTTTTTATTGTTGTTTGAAACGGATTTGAATTATCAGTTTAAGAACTTTTAAATAAATATTCACAATAATCTGCTATCAAATTAAATCTAACTTATTTATAATTTAAATTAGAATAAGCTAAGTCTAATACAATATCAAAAGAATCAGTTGCATGAGGAAATTTTTCATTTAAATAAGTGAAATCAGATTTTTTGACTTTTAAATCTTAAATATCAAATAAACACCAAATTGAACAATTAATTTCAATCTTTTTATCTTTCATTATAATGATAGGACTTCCCTTAAGTATTTATTTAATCTTCTCTTAAACTCCCTTTGTTGGCATTCTTCTTAATATTAAAATTCCATTCTTAGCAACACTCATTATAAGGTAATCAAAAGTTTCTTCATCACAATCTGGTAAAACCAAACAATTATCTAAGTTTTAAATCATGCTTTATATTAAATCAAATACTATTTCATAATCTTCATAAATTATAGCAATATGTAAATGGCGTTGAATTTATTCTTATTCTAATCTCTGAATTAATAAATTAGATTTCTAACATAAATTTGGAGATAGATAATACTATAAACTTGAACTGTTCTCTAAAAATATACTACAAAGTAATGATAATTTTAACATTATTAATGAACTTGATAAATTATGTTATTTTAATTATTAGTAATCAAAAGATAGAATGATATAATATATTGTATTGAGTATTTCATAGATGTAATTCTTGTTTTCTTTATCATAATTATAATGTCTTTTACTTTTATCTAAAAATAATTTTATGTCTTCATTATAATTTTCATCTGGATCAATCTGCTATGATTATTTAAACTTATAATTAAGTTTTAATTTCTAAAAATACTTTTTATTTTGAATTGCAGTATATTAATCAATAGTTACAGCATAACAATATTCATTTGCCAAAATAAAAGTATTATTCTATTTATACTGATCAAATAAATTAAAAGTATAGTATGCTAAAGAATATATTTAATTTCCAAGTTTAAACTTATTAACGTTATTGCCTTCAACATATATATCCAGTAATTAAAAAGAATGTTTATATTTGTTATTACGATTTTATCTTAAATTATTATATTTTCTATTTAAAGGCTATAAATCTGAAACATATAATTCAAGCTTTTGACATAACTTATATTTCTTCTCAATTTCATGTCTCACCCCATTGCACTCTTCACAAATATTTTTTTTATTCATATAATTTTATAATCTTTAAATTAGATGAGCCCCTTTAATTGAAATTTTATCACTACATTTACACTGAAATTCTTGTAAAAATAAGTAATTTTTTGGTTGATCTATTCCTACAATAATACAGTTCTTTAAGTGTACCAATGATCCGCAATTTTTTTACATTAATAATAGTTTATATTGAGGATCATGAATTGCTGTCTCAAAAGTAGGAACTGATATAAATTTAGTCTCACATATGAAATCATCATATCCAATATTCATCTACTTAACTATTGTATATATTATCTAATGTATTGAAATTAGAAAATGAGGATAGAAGTTGATGATCCATGATCCTAACAAAGGTCGCGTATCAATTATTAATGATAAATCCATTGTTAAAGTAATTTAATATATAGATTGATGCTTAGGACCTTTAAATTATTCTAATATTGTGTGAACATAGTTATTTATAATAAATTGCCTTAGTTCTTCTTTGAACTCTTCATTTGTATTTTTACTCATAAAACACTTAAAATTTAGTTATAGTTTATTATTTTTAAAATTATATTCTGTAAATAAATATTTAAAAATTCATTTCTAAAATTAACAATTCTTACAGCATGCATCTACCTTTTCTGAGTTTATAAATCCGCATTATTTACAAATCCAATTGTAATGATTTTTATCATTACTCATTTTTATACCTTTTCCTTCAAATGGTTTAAATGTTTTCTTCTGCGTTTGTGTTTATTTTACTTACCTAGTCTACTTTGTTTATTTTTTTTAATTTTTTTCTAATACATAATAGCCTCCCTTATTTTACAGTTTACTATTCATACTATTATTATCAATTGATCTTTAATTTTATGATTATTAAATTAATAAACTTAAAAAGTTACTTCAACGTATTTATTATTCTATCAAATGATAATTTTATTAGTGTTTCATTGTTTTTCATATTACAAATACAAAATAATATGTTAAATTCATTAATAATGTAATAATTGATAATTCTGTTAAATTCTTAAAGTTAAAAAACTCATCATCCAATATCATTCTAATGTTTTTTTTTAACTAGAAACTATAAAAACTAAATAAAATAAGATAATCAAAAAATTATTCAACCTAATTCATTTTCCAAATTGCATCCGAAAAATTTGGTAATAAAGACAGGAAAAAAAATATAATCGATTTCGTTTTTTCCTTAAAAAATTAAAAGTTCATTATCAAGAAGTTATTTTTTTTAACTAATATTTATTTTTTTATCCAAATTTAACTAATAATTTATCAATTTACTTTGAAAATGCTCCTCAAATTTTATTATATTTATTTGATATTTTGTCAAAATTAGATATTTAGATTTAAGATGCTACTTCTTTATTCTAAGAATCAAGTTCAAATTCTATATATATTTGTAATAAAAAAAAATTTTAATAGAAGGTCATAGTCAAATTAAAATAAATTATATATGGAATTAATTTTTTTTTTTAGAATTTAATACTCTATACTATAATTATTTTTTGTTCAACCTAAGATCTCTTATTAATATAAACTAATTTTTCTGGTTTTAATATTAACAAATCTGCGAGTTTTTAAGATTTCTTGAAATAAATTTGAATTCTTGTTAAAAAAAGCAACTTTGGTTGAGCAATAAAAAATATTCCGAAATTTAAATCTCAATTTCTTAAGTTGACTAGAAGTTTTAAAAGGATAGAAATGCTGAATTTGAATAATTATTAATCAAATATATTATTAAGATTATTTCCTAAACGAAATTTATTATTTTTCTATAATTTTTGATTTGCAAATTTATTTTTCTTTTTATATAATTTCCCTATAATCTCATATTATTATATAATTTGATTAATAAAAATAATAAAAACCCTTGGAAAAGAAAAAAAAAAAGATAGTGCAAATTTATTTGTAATAAATGGAAGGGAATATTTGAAGTTGTTTTATTTAAATAAAAATAATTTGTAATTTATTTTTAAATAACAGCTAATATTTAAATGAGTTTCTATTATAATTCGAAGTATAGAATAAAATATAGAAAATAAGTTAAACTAAATATACAAAAATCATCTCACTACTGAAACGATTCTAATTAATAAATAGTTTTAAAAGGAGTAAATGTTAAGTTAAAAAGTTTATATTAACTAATTTTCTAACTTTAATTGGAGTATTGATAATAAATTAAACTCATTTTGCATATATAAAGAGATTGTAGAATTAAAAAAATATATTATCTACACAATAAATCAGATTTAAAAATCATCTGAACTTTCTACGGTCCATTTTTTTGGTGTACTATTTCTTTAAAATTATTGACGATGTTAATTTTCAATTTTCTCTTGTTTTTTTGATGATTCTGGTAGGGTTGTTGGAATTTTAAGTGATATTCTTTTGTTATTAACTGTATGGGTTTAAGTATGTAAAGGCTACAATAAATAAGGTAGAACATCTGGTTCAATTTCCTCAAAAGTCTTTATGTTATTTGGGTTTGATTTAGGTTTAATATGCTTTGGCTTTATCGATACATCTAGGAAATGATTAGGTCTTAATTCAAGTGTTCTTGCTGGTTAAGGTGATTTATGAACTATTTTGTGAATAAGAGCTTTTTCTATTGATAAATATTCTTTTTCTTTTAATCTAATTTGCTCTCTAATTTTTTCAATAAATCTTTGTATGCCAATTTCATAATTATTCATTAGTTTATTATTGAAATAATAAATCAAAATCAGATCATAAATATTAAGATCAACAAATATTACATCACTATAAAAAAGTCTTAAATTATTCAATATTAATTACATCATTCTATCATATATAATTTCTATTAATTAATTTGCTGATATCAAATTGAAAAATTTTACGCAGTTTAAAGTAATATATATTCTTTAATTAAATATATTATCTTACTCTACTGAATAATGAAGTATAATTGGTGTTAGTTTAACTTTTTTCTACAAATAAGATAATATTCTTGCCTAATTTAAATAATAGGTCTAAATATTTAAAATTATGAATCACCTACAATACTCAAAAAAAAATATCTAACAATATGTATATTTATGAATTAATTGAATAGAATGGCCTTGCAATAATTAATGATTAAATTAAACAAAATCAATTGCATCAATATATTAAAATGTTTTATAAGGAAACATTAAGGACTATTTAAAAGAAATGAATTCATAAAAAACTAGACATAAGACATATATGATGAATAGATAAACAAAGGTTTAGAAAAATTATTAATTAATTTATAAATATTCAATATATTTAATAATAATAAGAATGATGGACATTATTTAAATTTAGAAAGGAGTAATAATAAATAAAATATATAATTTAATCAACTTTTTGTTTTTTTTTCATTATATTTAGTTGCTTGCATTTGTTTGCTTTGTTGCTTTTTTGTAATTTTTGTTTCAACTATGTTTTTCAGCTTTAAAATTTCCTTCTAAAATTTATCAATTTGTTTATTGAATTTGATATTCTCTTAACCCTCTTTAAAAACTTAATTGTATAATTCTTAAGTTTCTTATTCATTACATTAATTTGATTTTAATCTTTGATTTTCGGTAATTAATTTAATTTTCTCTTATTCGGCAAAATCCAATTACTTTTAAAGAAAATCAACTTATTGTTAATACTCATCTTTCATTTTAAAATGCATCGACCTATAATTTGAATTGTAATATACCTTAATTATTCCAATTCAATTTAGATTATCTCTGCTTTTTCTTACTCTAATTGTTTGATTTCTTCCTCTCTTTGAATTTCATCGTATTAGGTTAACAACTCTTTTAACTCTTATTCTAAATTTACATTTTTTTATCTCAAAGTTTCTAATTCATTCAATAAACCTGCTTTATCCTAAAATAAGATTGTAGATTAATCAAAAGAGTTTGGCTGTTATGATTTCCTTTTTTCCATATATTAATGAATTCTAGAATCTATTTCATCTATATTTTTCATCAATTTATTAATAATGATTTTTGAATTGATTCAAATTTCTAAAATAAGAAAATAAATAACAAAATGCAAAAAATATTATGAAGTATCTATCTTTTTGCCTCTTTTTAATTTTTTTCTATATTCATACTTTAATATCAAAGATTTATATTAAATATCAATTTTTTTCTTATAAATTACATTTTGATAATTAGAAAATAAAATTAGTAAAACATTGATCAATTCATTTTTGATCTCTTTTTTTGTGGGCTTTCTTATTTAATTTTTAAAGTAGTTATTCTAATTGATGAACTAATAATTTTTTCTGATCTTGCTCTAAATTCATTGAAATACTCTTAGAATAATTCATTCCATTATTCAACATCTAAATTAACTTCAAATACAGGTTTCGATTAAATCATCAATTGTTCTACAATCTTAAATGTTAATCCTAAATAAGGAAATTGATCTTCATTAAGTTAATTAATTTATTGTATCAAACCTATTTTAAAAGTGAAAACTTGTTTTGAGATTTATTCTATATTAAATTTAAATTTACTTTTTTATTTTGCATTAGATTATCTTTATAATTATATTTATTTCTCTTATTAATCTAATTCTTTTAAAAATAATACATCTTAAGATGTCAATTTGGAAAAAGTTTTAATTCTTGCTGAACCTATTAAAGCCTTATTTTTCTCTTTATATTCTAATAAGTCAGAAAAAAACTAATTGTAAATTTGAAATTACTTTTTACATTTATACAATATATTTTCTTCTTTCTTTTAACAGATATGAGAATAAAACATCTTTTTTTATTCTGCATTCCAACAAAGTTAATTCTTCCATTAAATTAAGTTGAGAAATTTACGAGAAGTTTAATTTAATTTTATATTAGCTTGGAAGTGTTATTTTTTCAATAAATCTAGTATATGGTAATAACACTTAATTTGATTGCTTCAATATTTTTTATTATTTTTTTTAAAAATCCGATTTTATTGCTATTTATTTATTAATATAATCACGTAACATACGACCCTTAAATAGAATAGTTTTAGGAAATTTTCTAATTTTATAAATATAAATACAATAATTTTAACATTTATTCTTAATTTAACAATTAATTTGTTAAATATGAAGACTCATCCTATATAAATTTAGTATAATTTGATTGACAGGCTTTTAATTCTTCTTTTTCTTAATTAAGATTGACACATTTAAACTATTTTAATAGATGTTCATCCCAATAATAGTTAAGAATACTTAATTGAATTGAAATGCTTGTATTAAACCAAGAACAAAAATGCTATGTAATTATTGTAGCATTTTTAATATTTGCAAGACCTATGATTACCTTAATTTTAATTTGATTTCTTAATTAAAATATATGAAGCCTTCTTATTCTTTACTATTTTCTTTTTATTCTGAGTTAAATTTTATATCTCACAATAAAGGATGTTAAAATCTTTCTGGCTATTGCATTAAGTTAATTCATAATTTTAGCAAGGATGTATTTTTTTCTAAAATAATGCTAAATTTTTTTTGCTGAGATGTTTTATAAAAATTCGCTTCTTCTTAGTTCTAGAATATTGTGACTGATTTCTAGATAAATTTATGCTATATTTTAAAGATTTAAATAGGTCAATATTTACTTGAATAATAATTACTTTTATAATTGTTCACATAGGATCTACCTTTATTTCTTTTTGTATTCTTAAGATTTTTCATAGATAACTTAGGTAAAATGATTAGCTCTTTCTAATTCAATTTCTTCTTTTTTTTGAGTAACTAGTTTTGCTTTATATTAATTATCTTATGCTTTTGTTTTTATTGACTCTAACATTTATTCTTTATTTTAAAGTGGTTTTATTGATTATAGACTGTTTTAGCTTATTTTCTCAAATTCTAATTCTCTTTATTTTTTTTTCAATAAAATTTTTTTCGCTCTTTCAAAATGAAGAAGTTAAATTTATACTTTAGTAGCTTAGATGATACTTTTATCAAATTAATCATATTTATCATGAAAAACGGGTTTCGTAATTTTAAATTTGTTTCTAAATTAATTTATTTGAACTCTTTCTGGCATTTTTAATTGTATATCTTGCTTTTTTTCCTCAAATTAATTTAAAATGGATAATAGAAGTCCTTCTTCATCTTTTTCTCTAGCCAATTATATATATTCATATTTTAATTAATCATTATCTGTTTATATGACTCCATCTAATTCGATAAGTTCTTATGATGGATCTTTACATATTCTATCAGTCTTAGAAAATTAAAGAGGTATATATAATTAACTTTCTTATTCCATTTTTTATACTTATGAATAAACTCCATCAAAAAGAATAGGAAATTTAAGTTAATTTGTTAATTTTTAATTTAATTAGGTTTAACTTTAAAATATAGTTGATTAGCTTCCTTTTAGTGATTTATTATTTCGAATAAATTTATTAAATTCTTAAGATTCTTATCTTTGTTAATCTTATTTTTTTTTATATAATCTTTATTAATCTTATCTTTATTAATCTTATTTTAATTGAATAGGAGAAGTAGCTTCACTTTTTTTCTTTTCATACTCTATAGCATTTTTTTTAATCACATAAGTTTGAATTAATTAAGCTTCTTCTGATATTACTTTATATTATTAAATTTTAAAATGTTCAAAATTAAGAAGTGGTAAATTAATTTTATTATCTCTTTGAATAATTAATCCTGTAATATATGGACCCATATCAAAATCAATAATTTTCAATTAGATTTCTAATGGTACAGGTATGTAAACTTCTTCTGGAAAATTAAATATACTATCTTTTTTATTACTTCCCCAAACATAAAGTTATCCAGAACTATTTAAAGCTCCAAAATGATCAAGACCTGCTGCCACTTTAATAAATGGGCTTTTTTTCTTAATTATTATACTTGGCATTGTAGCCTTTGATAAATCAATTTTGAAAGGTCCCTTACCCCATGTATATACATCTCCTTTAACATCAAGTGCTATACTATAATTTGCACCACAAACACACTAAATTGCTTTGGCCTTAAAATCCATAACTAACTTAGGCTCTTTCTATTCAGATATATCAAATCTCATATAACCTAATTTACCATCGTAAAATTCACCCCAACTCCAAACATTTCCATTCTCATCCATTGCTAATGTATGAAATGGACCACAAGATATTCCATTAAATTTAATTTAAGTCTCTAATTATTTACCAAATGAATGTAACATTAGATTTTTTGTTATCACATAAAGTACGCTATTGTAAGTAGAATAATCTTAAATTTCAACAATCTACTTAGCATTTAATTTAGAATTCCTATTTGTTGAATGCAATGAAGGAGGATTACTTTTTTCATCAATTATTTATTAATTGAAATATTTTGTTATATTTAAACCTTTAATTTCATAAGATTTTCCCTATTATTCTTTTATATTTGAAACTTTCTCTGCTTTTAATAATTAATTAAATTTCAATCCTGGAATATTTCCCCAAATATATAACTATTTAGTTATTGTATATGCTATAACAAAATCAATTCCTCCATCTATTTTTATAAACTATTATTTCATTAATTTTGATATATTATTTGGGGTTTTTAATGATGAAACTCTCTCTGCTAATTATCCATATAAAGATTCTCCAAAACCCCATAAATTTTAATTGACTAATATTATCCAAATATATACTGTCTATCATGAATGTATTCTATTAGCAACATTTTATGTAAATAAATTTGACACTTATTTCTTTATCTTTTTCTTTTTAGAATACTACCCTATTTAACCAAATTCCATTGATGTTTATAGCAACTGTTTCAAGATTGAAATCACTTGGTCCACTGACAATTACTAATATTTGTAATTCTTATTACCATGAGTCATCTTTAATATTAATTATATAAATTATTTATCAGATCTTGCAATAAATTTTTTTATAGAATAGTTTAATTGACTCATGCTAATACTCCTTCTTTCTCAAATCTAAATTTTTAGTATCAGAATTTAATTTATTAGTATTTCCATATAAATTATCTAACATCAATTCAGTATGAGATGCCAATGAAGAATCTATAAATATGAATATTGATAAATATTACTGTCATCTTCTAAACAAATGTTGTCTTAAGTATTTACTTTTATAGAATTAGAAGCAGTTTTAGTTTGAAAATATATTCCATTTCTAGCTAGACTATTTTTTAAATTAATTATCTTACATTTAACTTGATACTTTACTTATTTTAAGTAAATTATTGTTTATTTTTGGGTCTCCTTAATCCATTTCTGTAACTAAAGCATTGATATCAGTTTTTAAAAGATTATTAAAATTAGATTTAGAATATTGAGAATATGATCTGTTTTATGTTTATTTTTTTGACTTACTTTTTTCCTAATCGAAATCGCTTTATAAATTTGGTAATTGTTTTTTATTTTCTTAAAATAAATATTCTAATGTCTTTCTAGGTTTCATTAAATCACCTTAAGATACTTTTGATACGCTTAAATCAGTAATTTTGCTGCCTCCCCTAAATTAGTTTTTAATTATTACCTTTTTTTAATTTTGCTAATTTCACTATTAATTATTGAACTTTATTCTTCTTCATGCTTAGATTATTTGCTTAGGTTCATTTGTATTTTTTCAGCTAAATTTAATTCTGAAACCATTCTTAGCATATTTAAAGGTTTTTATATTGGCTTAAATTTTAAGAAAAATGTTTCAGGGTCTTTGCATCTTATTAATGAGAGAAACTTCTTTTTACTTCTATCTAATAAATATGATTTTTATTAGATAACTTGTTTTTCATGATTTTATATATCTAATTCTCTTTAACGTGCAACTTTTTTAATATATATATTTCTTTCTTGTGTTGTCTTTAAATTTCTAATTAGAAAAATAACTAATACTTTAAGGATGAAGATATCTTATTTAATTGCTTTGACCATTTTTCATCCTATTAACTTTGAGTTCTTTAAAATCTTAAATTAGGAGTTTTTTCTAATTAATTCATTTATTTTATTAACCTTTATATAATAAAATATATCATTTTACTTTTTCTATTTATACTTGAACTAATCAAAAAATATCAAGAACTTGTTTACTTATAAAGTAAAAATTGAATCACTTGATAACAAAATACTCTTTATAAAGTTGAAAAATTAAAAACATTATTAATTATTAAATTACTTTCTAAAATTACTATTTTTTTGTTATTTTTAGTCGATAAATGAAATGATTAATCAATCATAATTTATTTTAATTTAATAATTTAAATTTCGAAGTTATATTGAAAATGAGATTAGATGAATAAAATGATATAAATAATAATTGATAAAATAATAATACTTTTATGTAGATAAATAGTTAGTAAAATTTTTAGTCTTTGTAAACAAAAACAACTAAATTGTTGTAGGTTTGGGTTTCTTTGGTGTAAATGAACTTTATTTCATTTTTTTGAATCATAGGTTTGAACTTTTATATCCCCAAGTTATATCCATTAATTTTTTTTGAGATTAATTAAAATGTAATTTGTTTTTTTAAAAACAAAATACCAATTTTATTACTCTTATCATAATTAATAACTTTTATTTAAAATATGAATTCAGAATTAGGATCTATTTCAGAACGGGCTCCTTTAAAGACTTAACCAACAATTCCAAAACAACCTCAACGACCTGCTTTTTTAAAAACAGTTAATTTGAAAACTTTGTAAAATCAGAAATTATTTTCTTTTCAAAATAAAATCTGGAAAGATAAAGCATTATTAGTTTTAATATAAGTGCTTCGATTTATTTCTTTAATAACTCGTAGTCCTTTTGCATCTAAATTTTCATTGTTAGATGGAAACATGTTCAAGATCATTGGAGACAAAGCTTCAGATTTTAATTATTACTTATTGCATGATTTCTTCAAATACATGGTAGTATAATTAATTTAAATAAGAAACCTTAACCATCATCAAGGTTGAAGTACTTCATATAAAAAAACCTATATAAATGCTGCTAAATGAAAGGTGTCTTAGATTCTTTAATTAATTTGAAGATAATTATAGAGCCAGAATCAATATTTCTTATAGTTTGGAATATAATTCAGCTTTTTGTTATAAATATCAATATTTTATATATTACAGTGAAATTTTCATTTGATTTTGAAAATTATCCTCCTGAGCAATTTTAGTTATGTGAAATTTATCTATTAAAAGTTCCTTATTACTTATATTTATTTGATATTGTTATGAAATTGAATACTTGCTATTATGAATCTGGATATCTTGTAAGAGACAGGAATAAAATTTTAGATAACTTCTATAAAAACTGTAAATTAATCATTAAAATTAGATTTTCCTATAAATCTTCTGATTATTGTTCCAGTAACTCTATATTTCATTGGTTTAACTGAAGTTCCTTTGTATTTATTTTTGATAATGAAATCTATATAAATTCCAGAAATAATGGAATCTATAATAGATAGGATGGAGTTAACTACAAATTATTGGGTAACATATGATTTACTTCGATTAATCTATGTAATATTGTATTAATCACATATCTGTTGTTGTGGATTATATTATGTAGGATTATTAGATAAAGAAACATCATGGCTATTATCAAATAATTTATTACAAGAAACATGGATTATTAAATATGTACATTTTTAATTTCAAAATTAGTTTAATACATATTATTGGAGTATTGTTACTATGACAACTATAGGATATGGAGATGTAACACCTTAAAATTTAATAGAAAGAGTTTATCTAATTTTTGTTGCAATTGTTTCATGTTGTACATTTGGTTATTCAATAAATTGTATTGGTTAAATACTTGGACAATTATAATCTAAAAATCATCAAATAAGAGTTGATTTAAATGATTTAAAGTAATTTCTCAGAATAAGAGGTTATAATAATAAATTATAAATTAAAATTTTAAGATTTTTTGAATTTTTATGGAAAGATTAAAGAAACGAAAATAAGTTAGATTTAAAAAAATTTAATTAATAGCTTCCATCTCATCTTTATAATGTACTATAATCTTTTTAATTTATAGGAAATGATGATAGATTTAAATATGAAAAGTATCTCAAAGATTCCTTTTTTTAAGGATAACTTTAATGAAGATTTTATATCAGCATTAGCTTCTAAATTTGTTGAAGAGAAATTAGTTCCATTTAATACAATATATTAAAAAAATGATATTAGCAATTTTCTATATATATTATGTGATGGTGAAATAGAATATTTTGTAGAACTTCCTGAAGGATCTGCAAATATTTTGAGTATTTAAACTATTTCAGGTTAAGATTAAATATTTGGATAACAAGAATTTCTTTTGGATTAAAATTATGATATTAGTTGTAGATCACTTACATCATCTAGAATCTTAAAAATATCGAAGAGTGATTTCTAAAACATTGCAAAAAAATATGGTTATGTATCAAATTTTTATAATTTTAAATTAGGAAAAATATTGTGAATTAAAAGATCTAGTTAAATTTTCTGGCAGATATGATGAGTTTCATTTACACTGTATTGGATGTAATAAGTCTACACATATGCTTTATTAATGTCCAATGTTAACTGGTTTTCCAAACAAATCAAAAATCATTCTTAAATGTAGAAAAAACTAAATTTAAGAAAGAAAATACATTAGTAGAAAAAATATTAAAAGAAGACTCTCATCTTTAATCTTTGAAACTTAAATATCTGATACTGTTTTATATTATTTATTGCAAGATCCAAAATTATCATAGTAAATTAGTTCAAAGTACTTTATCTAATCATTAAAATAATAATAACTCTAAAAGGATTAAATTAAAGATAATTAAAAGGATAGTTCTTCTAAATAAAATGAAGCTTAAAACGGTAGTTCTAAAAATATATCAATTTTAAATATTTAAGGAAGAAAATAATCTCAGTATATAAAAAGAATGACTGGACTTTTTAGTAAATCTCTATTAAATTTTAAATCACCACAAGAGGATAAAATAAAGGCTGCATTAGAGTCCATTTAAAAAAATGTTTCCGGTTTTGATACAGAACAAAAAACTCCATTTATAGGAGAATGTATAAAGTTTAGAACTAATTTGGAAAAAAACTAAGATGAGATTCATCCAACAGAACATTAAAAATTAACACAAGATATTGCTAAATCTTTAAATTTTAAACCTATAAATCAATTCACAAAATAATAATGTGATTATTAAGATCCTATTACGTTAAGTGAAATGTAAATTTCATCAGATTCTGAAATTGATAACAATTCAAAATTGTAATTGAAAGAGATAAGTCCAGTCATAGATTTTAGAAATTAATAATATATGGGAACATATAAAGATATTTATGAAGAATTTGATAAATGCTAAAACTTTTAAAATTATATGACTCATATGAATTCTCATAAAATTTTAGATCAAATAAATTAAAGCAAAGATTCCTAGAATTTCACAGACTTCATGATAGTAAATTTTGTTAGAAAACATAGATCAAAAAGAGCAAAATTAATAATTAAAGTTGATGATTGAAGGATAAAATCTAAATTAAGTACATAGTAGTATTATTTTAAGTATTTTTATATCTTTGATTTAATTTAAACAATAAATAATATCTTAATAGATCAATAATATATATAAATTATAGGAGATAAATGAGAATTTGAATAATATATAATTCAAGTAGTCTAATTTATAATTGTCTATCAATCAATGAACATTTTAGGATCATAATTATCTTCAATTATATTCCAGCCTCCAATTCCCCAATCATTTTTATTAAAATCAAACATAGGATCTGATTATTTTTACTTTTTTTCATAACTTGGCTAACTTTTTAACAAAGTTCTTAGTTTTTATTTAGTTACAGTGGGGCTTCTACACATAGCAGGAGTTGTTGGAAATCTAAATTATTCTTCTGATACACTTTTTTATTATTTAATTCCTAATTTAAGTCTAAAATTTTTTAAAGCAGGACATCTACTATGTATGCGATCTGTTTAAAATGTAGTTAAAGCTTATGTTGGTAATATTTTAAATTCACATAAAGGTAGCGATGTATCTTTTTCCTTTTACAATTTCTATGATGATAATATAGATTTTATAAGAAGAGGATTTTTTAATTAAATTGGCTATCTTACTCCATATTTGAATGACTGAACATGATAAAATTAAGTTGATGGTTTCTTTGATAAAATATCATTATGACTCTTTCTTGTTTATGATAGATTTTATTTAATGAAATCTTTTTTGACAAGACCATCCACTAATAATTCTTTATCCATTATAAATAATAATAATAATCATTTTTAATATCAATTTTTATATAAATGCTAAATGCTTATTATAATCAATAGATATGAAAGTATATTTTAATATCTAAGTTTAGATTCAAAATAATCATCATGGATTATTAAAATAAATTTATAAAAGTTCATAATTAATGTCGCATTTCTTATAAAATTAATTCTCTAAAAACTAAGATAAAAATTTTCTAACAAACTTGAGAATTTAATAAAGAAAGTCAGAATTAAATTAAAGAATATAATAATAGAACTATTAAATAAATCAATTCATTAATTAAAATTTTCATAAAATTAGAATCTATGATTAGATTCTGTGTAAGAAGAAACATTAGAAACTTTTTCCTTAATTTCGAAATTCTGGCGAAATAATTCAGATTATTTTGATTTCGATTCAGCCTATTATTATTGATATTAGTTATCCTATGCTTGATTTTTATTTTATTAGTTCTCTTGTTATTTTTAATTGTTATATTAATTATTTTTTGAATTATTTTGTCCACCATCCTCTTAAGGAATATTAGTCACAAAATTAACAATAAGAAATCCAATAATTAAAAAAATTCCCACAAGAAAAATAGAATTCAAATTTAAGAAACTATCATTTCTTTAATTTTGAAATTCTGTGTATGTTTGATATTAATAGTTTCTTCTAAATGGATCATCTGTAAATGTATATGTTCTAGTATAATGCTATGAATATCCTCTTTTATTAAATGGAATTTCATCATCATCTTTATCTGCATTACCATCAATTATTTCTTAATATGCATGAGTAATTTTTTTATATTACTCATTAGCTCCTGGTGAATTATTTTTATCAGGATGATATTTTAGAGATAATTTTCTAAATTATTTCTTAACACTTTCCAAATCAGCTCCTTTTTTTAACCCTAATATCTTATAATAATCTTCCTTAGCTAATGATAATACTATAAATATTAGAAGCAAAATTTTCATTAATTTAAAATTAATCTCGAAAAATTATTCAATTAAAATTGCAATAAATTAATATTGTTAATATATTAACAAAATTTGTAATGATTTACTCATTTTTGTGAAAAACATGAAATTTTAGCAATTTTAAACAAATATCATTATTAAATTTCATGAATTTTAGATTATTTAATTTCAGGTTAAATATTGCCGATAGTTTTTTTCATTTATTAGTATAAAATAATTAAAGCAAGTACTTATTACTTTTTAGTAAAACTTTGATTTGAAATTTTCTAATTACTTTAATTTCTACTTTTTGTTTTCCTTATATAATTGATTTTTAAAAATCTGTAATTTCGATGTTTAGAAACAAAGGAATCAAATTTTTGATTTTTTCTTACATATTTCCATTATTTTATCTGGTTTTTGAGTTTTTTACCAAATATACTTGATGCTTCTTAACCCTCTTTTTAAATATTAATTAAGGACATTTCTTTATCTTTCATTATTTGCTCTAGATTTTTTTTTAAGAGATTCATTTTTCTTTGATCAATTATTGAATATTGATTTCTTCACTTATAAATTTTGTAAATGATTTATCAATTAACAGATTTTATTTACAAATTTATCTATAATTTATTATTAATCATCATCCTTATAATTATCAATTTATTTAAGAAGTTTCTTATTTTTTAATTTTCTTAAAAACATATTTGGAATGAATTATAAAATATAGTTTAAGAATATTAATATTAATAATTATAATGTTAATATACTTGTATTGATATAATGTTTTAATAATCAAGATATTGTAGCTGTTTCTCTTCTTTTTTATCTACTACTTTTATTAGATTCTAAATAAATAGGAAACTAATAAAATAAATATTAAATAAAATACTTCTTTTCTCTATTCGACAGGGAGATAATTTCTTTTTTCAGGTCCTATATAATTTTATCTAGGTCTAACAATATTATTTTCTTTATCATTTAAATATTCTTTCCAGTGTGCTAACCATCCAGCAACTCTTGGAATAGTGAATAAAACAGGGAACATATCAGTTGGGAATCCTAAAGCTCTATAGATAACTCCACTATAGAAATCAACATTTGGATATAATTTTCTTTAAATAAAATAGGGATCTGATAATGCAATTTTTTCTAATTCAATAGCAATTTCAATTAATGGTTCTTTTCCAGTAATTTCAAAGACTTAATAAGCAATTTATTTAACAATTTTAGCTCTTGGATCATAATTTTTATAAACTCTATGTCCAAAACCCATTAATAATTTTTTTCTATCTTTAACATCTTTAATAAATTATGGAATATTTTTAAGATCTCCAATTTCTTCTAACATTCTTAATACAGCTTCATTAGCACCACCATGTTTAGGACCATAAAGTGCACCAGCGGCACCTGCAATAGCTGTATATATATCAACACCACTTGAACTTAAATGTCNTTTCGATGTTTAGAAACAAAGGAATCAAATTTTTGATTTTTTCTTACATATTTCCATTATTTTATCTGGTTTTTGAGTTTTTTACCAAATATACTTGATGCTTCTTAACCCTCTTTTTAAATATTAATTAAGGACATTTCTTTATCTTTCATTATTTGCTCTAGATTTTTTTTTAAGAGATTCATTTTTCTTTGATCAATTATTGAATATTGATTTCTTCACTTATAAATTTTGTAAATGATTTATCAATTAACAGATTTTATTTACAAATTTATCTATAATTTATTATTAATCATCATCCTTATAATTATCAATTTATTTAAGAAGTTTCTTATTTTTTAATTTTCTTAAAAACATATTTGGAATGAATTATAAAATATAGTTTAAGAATATTAATATTAATAATTATAATGTTAATATACTTGTATTGATATAATGTTTTAATAATCAAGATATTGTAGCTGTTTCTCTTCTTTTTTATCTACTACTTTTATTAGATTCTAAATAAATAGGAAACTAATAAAATAAATATTAAATAAAATACTTCTTTTCTCTATTCGACAGGGAGATAATTTCTTTTTTCAGGTCCTATATAATTTTATCTAGGTCTAACAATATTATTTTCTTTATCATTTAAATATTCTTTCCAGTGTGCTAACCATCCAGCAACTCTTGGAATAGTGAATAAAACAGGGAACATATCAGTTGGGAATCCTAAAGCTCTATAGATAACTCCACTATAGAAATCAACATTTGGATATAATTTTCTTTAAATAAAATAGGGATCTGATAATGCAATTTTTTCTAATTCAATAGCAATTTCAATTAATGGTTCTTTTCCAGTAATTTCAAAGACTTAATAAGCAATTTATTTAACAATTTTAGCTCTTGGATCATAATTTTTATAAACTCTATGTCCAAAACCCATTAATAATTTTTTTCTATCTTTAACATCTTTAATAAATTATGGAATATTTTTAAGATCTCCAATTTCTTCTAACATTCTTAATACAGCTTCATTAGCACCACCATGTTTAGGACCATAAAGTGCACCAGCGGCACCTGCAATAGCTGTATATATATCAACACCACTTGAACTTAAATGTCTAACAAATGCAGTTGAACAATTTAATTCATGTTCAGCATGTAATATAAATAAGACTTCTAATGCTCTTGTTATTTTAGGATGTGGTTTATATTCTTTTTCATTCAATTTATCTAACATATATAAGAAATTCTCAACATAACTCATATTTTCATGTGGCATATTATGTTCTCTTCCAATCCTATTTCTAAAACTATTAGATGCAATAGTTGGTAATGAACCCAAAATACGATAAATTTATTTATTAACAATGTCTTAATTCTTATAAACACCTTCACCTGCTAAAGCTGGATTTACTTCAGGATGAAATGTTGAAATAGCAGCTAGTGTTGAAATTAACATACCCATTGGATGTGCATCATATCTAAAGCTTTTCATCATTTAAGATGCATCTGTATGAATGAATGTATGTTTTCTAAGTTTTTCATCCCATTCTTATAACTAACTTTTACTTGGCAATTCTCCATTTATTAATAAGTAAGCTACTTCAACAAATGTTGATTTCTCTGCTAATTCTTCTATTGGAATTCCTCGATATTCTAATATTCCTTTGTCTCCATCGATATATGATATCTTAGATGTCTAATTATATTCATTAATATTTTATACACAACAAATTGTATTCATATAACCTGGATCATATACTCTTAAAGGTTATCCTTAATATTAAAGTGCTCCCAATTTTGTTGCATGAATAAAATCACTTTCTCTAGATGTACTTATTGGAACCTCTATAGTTTTACCTGTCCTATTATCAGTGATTGTTAAGTGATGAGCTAACTAATTTGCATAGAGACCTAATCTATTCATTATATTAAATAATATTGACTCATTCTTAATACACTGACGTCTTATTTATTTATAATTAAATTATATAAATGGAATAATTATATCACAGAGATCCTACATTTTAAGAATAAGAAAAAAAAAGAGAGCAACTTTTAAATAAATTACCATAACCTAATCTTAGTGCTAATTTAGATGAACTTATAAATAATTCAATTCAACTCTCCTTAAAAGGAACATCCGATTTCTTTATTAGTAAAAAATTAAAAAGTGCCAGAGAAAAACCTGATAGTGAAGTAAATAACAAATAATAAATTAATCTAAAGGAACTTATGTAAAAATTATTAAAGAAATTTGAAATTGAAGAGTATGGTACAAACTTTACAAAAGATGTTTATGATCCTAAAAAAATTGGTGATGATTCTGTTGTTGATGATAAAAAAGTACTTAGACCTACTGTTCCTAATGTAATTATATAATTTATATATCTTAGAGTTTTACCCATTCAAATAGATGATAAATATGTGATTTAATATTATCTATATAATAATTATCTTTAAACTCATTATTAGTTTAAACTTCATCGTTTTACTAATAATGATTTTGCCATTTAAATTGCAGTATGCTAATCAACCAATAATTCCACTAATGCTAATGCAAATTCTATAGCTGTTCCTGGAGATCTTGAAGTAATAAACTTATTGCTAACATGAACTCTATCCTCAGAAAATTATCCTTTGTAATCCTATACATGAGCTGGATGACATGTTCCAGTAGAATTTATCATAAAACCATTTTTATCTAAAACTAATTAAGGTGATGCACATATTGCAGCTATCCATTTCCCTTCTTCCTATTATTGTCTCAATCGATCTAACTAATTAATATATACATTCACTCTTACTAATGGTTAATGAGTTCCTAATTGTTGTGCATTTGATAATCCTCCTGGTAGAGCTATTAAATCAAATTACTATTTTAACACTGCTTCTGTCAAATAAGTATCACAAATAAAAGATATTCCAGATCTACCTACTATCACTGGAGCTTTTTCATCTTCAACAGGTTTTATTGATGCAAATGTAACATCTATATTTGCTCTACGCAGAATATCAATTATTGCTACTGTTTCTATCTCTTCACATCCATCACTAACTGGCACAAGAACTTACCTTTACATATTTATATTTTTTATTTTTATATACTATTTATGATTCTAACAATTATTAAAATTTATAATTAATCAAAATTTGCTAATTCCTATATCATAATGCTCATCTAAACACAATAAATGGATCTATCTTTCTGTGTCATCCCCATAAATTTATTTATACACTTAACTTTTCTATTTATTTATATTATATTCATGAATTTAGCTAAAATTATCAATAATTATACATTTTTAGTCTCTCAGCTAACAATTCAAAAATATTATTTGCATTACTTAAACTATTCTCCCAAAATTTTATTTCCTCTGCTTCTTCATTTTTATCAGAATTTTCATCTATTATTAATTATGAAATCAAATTTCTAAAATATATAATAGAAAGCCCATAAAATTAACTTTGTCTATCATTCATTATTTGTTCTAATTACTCTTCTGGGTTTCTTGAAACATAAATTTCTTAAATTTTTTATAAAAAGTAATTTTGATGATTTTAAAAATAATTATCATCAATTATAAATTATCTAGTTTTAATAGCAATATTCAAATTTTAAATCCAACTTAAATCATTTTCAAATTGACTTTGATTTTATTATTTTAAAGCTATTTAAAAGAATTAAAATGATAAAGCAGCAAAAAAGCTGTTTGGATCACTCTTAATTTTTCTAAATCCAGATAAAAATTTACTCAACTAATTAGATATATTAACATTATTTTCTGTTATTTGTGCTTCCAATTAATGTTAATTATAAATTGAGCTTATAAAAACCTCTTTTGGAATTTACTCATCGTAAATTTTATATAAACCAAAAATTACATTCACATAATCCTCTTAAATATTTTTATTTAATTTTGGCATTATTGGATTTAAAATTAGCTTACTTTCTTATTAAGCTTAAATAAATAGTAGTCCATTTTCTGTTTTTAATTAGTTTTCTTATACTTTATTGATTTATGTTGTTTTTATTTAGATTTCTTCAACAAGAAACTTTTCTTTCTTATTATTCTCTTTCTATTTAACTTATCTTTAAATTTAGGTCATTATTTTAGGTTCTTCGACCTCTTTATTTAAATCACTTTAAAATTTTGAAGCTTAATTAATCTAAAATATTGTTTTTTATTCATGTTATAAATAATCTTCATCCTAAAGGATGTTTTCTTAAATTAATTCTTGATCTTATTTAACCTCCTTTAGATTTTATCTTTTCTAAACTTCGACTGAATTAAAAATTTCATAAGTTTAATAAGTTTAATCCTTATTTTATTCTTAATCCATTATACATTAATCAACTGCATATTTGATAATTATTGCAATAAAAATTGCAATTATCATTAAGACTATTGTTGATAATATTTCATTAATCATAATTGGTAATAATTATTTTATTTATAATAAATATTTAAAATTTTAAAGTCAAATACAGTGTTTCATTGCTTCTGATTAATCTAATTTTCTTTAGATTTTAATATAATACTGATTGTAATTGATTTTATCTTTTTTTGAATCTACAGATAAGTGCAGCAGGTAGCATTAAATACATTTTTAATTCAATTAAAATGAAAAATAAATTGATCAAAAATATTTTAAAGAACAGTTATAAATTGTTAATAATCAATTTTATTAGATATCTTTTAGTTATTTGAATAAATAAATTTAGCTCATAATTATTTATTCTTAAAACTTAAACCTTCCTTAAATTCAAGTTTTAAGTGATAAAAGAATTTCTATGATTTTTTCATTTTTAATATTTCAACTTAATATATTAAAACTAATTGAAAAATAAAAGATGGCTGATGAATGGTCAACAAAATAAGTTTTAAAATATATTGTAATCAATGAAAAATTGAGTTTCGAAGCATTTGGCTGTTTATACAAGGGTTTCTTTAAAGAAGATGAGACAAAATTGATTGCTGTCAAAATGGTCAAAATAGCTGTAAATATTACATATTGAAAAATAGTTGTTTGATGAAAATCCAAAGCTTCTTGAATTGTTTAAATAAGAAATTGCAATACTTTAAAAAATTAATCATCCTAATATTATAAGGATACTCGATGTTCTTCGTACAAATACTTACGTGTACTTAATACTAGAATATTGTGCTGATGGCAATTTGAAAAAATACATAGCCAGAAAAAAAGATAATAGACTTAGCGAAGTTAATCTTATAATAACTTTAGGTTGAAGCATTACTATTTATTAAGCATATTGTAGAAGGTTTTAAAATATTGTATTAAAATAAAATACTACATCGTAATATTAAGCCTGATAACATTCTACTACATTAAGGAATAGCAAAAATTACTGATTTTAGTGTTGCTTGTATAATGGATTCAGACATGAATGGTTTAATTATATTTAATTTTATAGCTCCATCCTATTTGACAAAAATGGGCACTCCATTATACATGGCACCATAAATTCTAAAAGGATAACCATTTTCTTCAAAATCTGATATTTGGTCTCTTGGAATTACATTTTATGAACTTCTTTATGGAAGAGTTCCTTGGTAAGCCAAAGATTTTGATTCTTTCTCTCAAAATGTTTTAAATGAAGTATTTCAAATCAATATATTGAGCCAATATCCTTTCCAATTAAACCTGTAAGATCGAATGGAGCGAAGGAACTTATAACAAAAATGTTATAGATTGAAGAAAAAGATAGAATTTCTTGGGAGGAATTGTTTGAAAACCAGATTTTCAGAGATAATCATTAAATTAATCAGATCAACTATAATTTACAAGAATTAGGTATTATTTTTATAAAATTATTAAAGATGATTTTTCCAAATAAATTTTCATCAATCTTCAATATCTTGATTAACATTTAGTTGTTAGATAAATAATTTAGATTCATTTTGATTCCTTTTAAAAGTAGTAAGAAATAACTTCCAAAACTTTTGGAGAAGTTAAATCCAAATCTATTAATTATGGTTAAGATTTTAATGTAATTTTTCCTTTTAAAATAATAGACTGAAAATTTTCTGCTTAATTAATAAAAATAGAATAAAATAAGAGCAGCCATGTTAAAATATTACAACTACTTTTTATTTGAAAGAAATGTTGCCTTTTTCTTTAATTATGTTATATAAAAAACTATTTTCCTAAAACCAAAATTAAATTTACCAAATTTACCTTATTTTAGATTAATTTCATTAATAGCAAAAAATTAATTAATCCATTTAGAAAGAGTTAGGGAATAATTTTCTAAAGAGGTTCATGAAAAATTTAACATAGAAACATGGTAAAATTTTTTGAAATCTGAGGTATTTTATAAAATCATTCTTAGGAATTCAAACAATTAGACTTATTAATTAAAACAGATATATAAAGTTCTTAAGATTTATTTTTTAAAATAACGATAGCTTTCAGAAAGGTTGCAGAGGAAGAGTTAAAAGGATAAATAAATTAACTAGACGCAGAATTAATTAAAGATTCCTTGAATTTGAATGAAACAACATTTAAAGCAAGCGAAGTTTTTTATAATTGTTACAGAGAAATTATTGGAGATAATATTAATCATTTATTAAAATTATAAAGTGAAGAAGTAGATATTAATTTACTTATATTAAATCTTTCCATATGCTTAAATCCGTATGAAGAGTTTAAAGAGATTTATTTCGATTTTGATATATTTTATGAAGTAACAGAACAGCTAAAGTTTAATGAAATTTATGAAAGATTGTTATAAAAAAGAGTTAAATTATTGGTATCGAAATGACTTATTTTATTAAGAAATTTTTTCGAATTGATTAATAATTTAAATAAATATATAACGAAATTAAATCAAAAATATTACCTAAATCAATTCTATTTTCAAAATTTTAGAGATGAAAAAATATTAATATATACATATAGGGTCAATTAATCAAAAGAATGGTTAGAAATTATTTAATCTAAATAAACAAGAACGAGTTGAATTAATAGGATTTTTTTAATATAACATTATAAATCTCAATATTTAACAAAATATTGATTGTTTTGTAAAAAAATAAAGACCATTTTAATTGCAAAAAATAGAATTAGATTTATGTAAATTCCTATCTAATTAAAATTAAGTTTCTAATTATAAGTTTTAACATAGATATATTAAGGACGCTATATATTAATAAAACTTTCTCATGAAATTTCATTGCACAATCAAAAAGAAAAGTAAATTTTTGCTTAATGGAACACAAAATTTTAGAATTCTTACAAATTTACTTTTAAAAAGATACAAAAAGATATTCAAGCAAAAACATAGAAATCTGAACATATTAAGGTATAATTTTTAATTATTCTGGTTATTTGGGATATTTTGAAACTAGTGCAGATTTATTTTCTTAATTTTAATGATTTAAAGATATTTATTA